ATAGAGTTCATTGGAACTTGCGGCCATAGTTAGCTAACGATGCTTTTGGGAAACGCACCCCAGCAAATTACACACAATTATATTTAAACGTAAATTTTGAAAATCGTGATATAAACGATAAAAACGTGCTTCTGTAACTAGGATGCATGCAAAGAAATACTTCTAAAGTTCTTATTGTTTTCCCATGTTGTAATGATTATCTCAGTCTGAGAGATGTGCATATGATGAACTACATCTGAAGCTGATTGCATCGAGCTCCTCTTCACCACAATTTTCTTATAAAGACTCTAGCTGAGATTTAGGCTCTCGTTTTGACTTTGTTCTTTTGTTCCCCACTTTCTCTCTCTGTCTCTCTCTCGCTCTCTCTGCGTCTCTGAGTTAAGAGTTGCTTTGACTTGACAGCACAGTGGATTTAGAAGTACTAAGAGAGGATCACATCGTAACTTCTGGAGTCACATGTTCAAATCTGGAGTCATTGAGCTCATGTCAGTGAAAGGAGTGCTGGGAATTCTGTAAGAGCTCCTCACTGAGGCTTTTTAGATGACACTTTAGAGTTCTCAGCATGCCTGTACTCTCATAAACACGAAAGGACTATACTGTGCTCTTCTAGTGAGAAACATATTAGAGAAGTGACACTAAACTGATAGCATTTAACTAAGATAAACCCATAGGACAGTTTTATCAGTCAGGTAAATTTTCATTCCATTCCTTTCCTTTCCTTTCCAACTGATAAATTTGTAGATTTTACCTTTTTATTTAAAGTTTTTTTTTAATTTGCTTGTTTAATAATAATAATATTCCTTTCCTTTCCTTTCCATTCCAACTGATAAATTTGTAGATTTTACCTTTTTATTTAAAGTTTTTTTTTATTTGCTTGTTTAATAATAATAAACAGCCCCCCCCCCCACACCCATTTTTGTAAGCTTTTTTCTGCTGAGCCTGTGCTTGGATCATTTAAACTTTCATATAGAAAAGCAATATCACAAAGGTAATCTTTTTAATATCTCAATTGTTTCTCCTAGCTATGAGAATAAAGGACATTTAAACTTTTTCTTCAGTCTTAAGTTTCATTAGTTTCCTCTTCACATTTCTCCTCCATTCTTGGAAGAATTTGATGAGTAATTTTCAGTTATTTTTTAAACCTCTGACTCCTGAAACTCTGGAGGAGAAATGTGAAGAGGAAACTAGTGAAACTTAAGACTGAAGAAAAAAATGTAAATGTAATTTAGTCTCATTGCTAAGAGAAACAATTAAGCTATTAAAAATATTACCTTTGAGATATTGCTTTTCTATGTGAAAGTTTTGTAAAAAAAAAAAAAAAAAAAAAAAAAAAAAACCAAAAGGGGTATCTAAAAAACCCTGGGAAATGTAAATGTAATTTAGTCTCATTGCTAAGAGAAACAATTAAGCTATTAAAAATATTACCTTTGAGATATTGCTTTTCTATGTGAAAGTTTTTTAAAAAAAAAAAAAAAAAAAAAAAAACTAAGCTCAAAGGTGTATCTCAAAACAGCTGGTGTTTTGCAGTATTGCATTGTTGTGATGATGGTGTATACTGTTCCTTAGTGTTGGAAACGGATTCCCTCAAAGAACGCGCCATTAGCCATCCAAGGCATTTGATCCCAGATGAATACCATCCTTCTAAGGCAACATTGTGTGAAAAGTTAAAGATGTAATTCATTTCTACGTCATACTTTGCCTTTGGCCGTGCACTGCCATCCCCTACCTGTGGGAGAAGCTGCTGTCTCACCCACACCGTCACCTCCTCATGCTGCAGGTGTCCTTGGACTCAGAAGGAAACTATTGAATTAGTAAATAACCAGGATAAAAGGATTATAGAAAGTAAGAGCTTCAGGAGAACAGGCGACATTAGATTTATGATTGATCTGGGAGGCAGGGACTGATGGAGGAGGGGGGACGAAGGGCAAGAGGGATTCAGTAGGTAGACAGAAGAAACAAAAGAGCCCTTTCATTTCTCTTCACGTACCTCTTTTTTTTGTCCCCACCTGCCTCTTTTCCTGCTCAGACTCATTTTTTGAAGTGTCATCACTCCTTACGTTCCAGGACTCCATCAGGGGCACTCCTTCACCTCATTGTCCTCTTACGTTTTAGTATGCTTGTGTTTAATATGCTTGTATTTAATTAAACACACATTGTGCCGCCTTAACAAGAAGCTGGAGTATATAGCGAATAAGGAATGTAAATCTGCAGTGACAAAGTGCTTTTTTGTGATGATTAAAGTTAAAGGTGATGTGTGTGTTGCATACCACCAGCCTTGCTTAATGGAATTGCCATATAATGACTGTTATTAAAGTTTCATGAACCCCTTCTGCTATTGGTCAGGTCAGTCAATCAGATAGTCCCACCCCCAAATTCATGCCATTGGTTGATTCATTGTTGCTGTTGTTGGGGTGGTTGTTATGCTTAAACTAACAAAGCTATGTTTTCATAGCAGAGACAGTGTTTACACTTTGCAGGGAAATCAACTCTTGATTTTGACTGCAGTTTCCAGTTTTGTTTTCAGGGTGGCAGGCAAGGGTTGGTTCAACTTGCGATTTAATAATTAAATTATTAAATTCTTTATATGTAAATTCTTTAATTATTTATATGTGAAGAAGTTTATATTAGAATTTTAAATGAGAAACGAAGTCGACCCAGGCTATGTTCAAAATGGAATGCTAGTTCTGTACTGGCTATATGGAATAGCACTATACTTTTATCATAGATTTCTGCAGTATCTACACTACCATTCAAAAGTTTGAGGTCTGTAAGTTTTATGTTTTTAAAGAAATTAATACTGTTTTTCAGCAAGGATGCAATTTAATTGCATCAAAAGCAACACATCTTCATATTAGAATGATTTCTGAGAGATCATGTGACACTAAGACTGTATTTTCACAGCGAACACTGTATTTTCACAGTGTGCTCTCACTGTATATTGCACAATCTGGAAAATGCAGAAGGCCATCCAGATATTCCAAGCATACAGAAAATGTGCTAACTCTGCACAGTGTATATACTGCAGAAATGTTACATGCATGGACTGCTTTTCCAGTCAATACCATACTGTTTGCGGACTTTCAGTCATGTCTCTCTCTTTCTCATCAAAATATTGGAAGTTTCACCAATATTTAACATGGGACTAAGCATAACAGAAAGAGTTGTGTGTGCTTTGAAAAGAGATTCAGACTGCTGAGAGCCATTTCATGTAGTTAAGAGCCTGTCTGTACTGCAGTCTTGCATAAAGTTATTTTCTTTGTGAATGATAGAGCAAAACTCGTTTTTATCCCAATTCTCAGATCACCAATCCAAATGACATGTAATCAGTTACTACCCAGCTCTGGTCATGCCTGCGTTTAAATACGCGATGAGTTCTCCTAAATTATTGTTTCTTGTGTGCACGGATCAGAACTCACTCTCCAAACTGCGATGATTGACAGCATGGTAACCATAGCAGCGTTCTGACATCTTGCCATTTGTTATCTGCTATTTTTAATCAAAGTAATTTTACAGCGATCAAAGACTCGTTATGTTCGGTGATTTGAACTAAATCACCATAATGCATTAACAGAGCCATTGTGTTTTGTTTATGTTTGGAAGGCTGCTTTGCAGAGTGCACACTTGAAGGGTTGCCATGTCCACTTACTATAAGTAACACTTGTTAAGCGTCTTTAGGCTTGTTTGGGTTCGGCTCATAAAGCTATCCAGTTTATGGAGTTAATAAAGTAGGCAGGTGCAGGTCGCTGTTTTTTGGTATGTGGCTTATTTCCAAGATAACACGTTTGGATTTAAGATTTGATTTCTTGCACCGCACATACAGAAAAGACACAAATCTGATATATGTTCAAATTCGTCAATAACAAGAAGGTTTTACTCCTGTGAATTACTGCAGTATGTGTGAATAGAACAGGATTAAGCTCTAAAAGGTGAATTAACAACCAAATTGAGCTGTTCAACCTAACACAGTTGAAGTGTTTTAGCTTTGGCCCAAACCACAGGGGACGCTATAGCAGGTATTAGCATAAACTCATATTCCTCCACACTCAGTTGTCCATTGTAGATTAACTACTCTCATAATGTACATAGAAACTGTTTGGACAGGCTTTACTATCTGTCTGGGTGACAGAATCCCCCCTCGGGGTTTAATAAAATATGTCTTTCTATTGAAACGAGATGTCCTGCAAGTCCCTGAAGAAATTATGCTTGAAATATATATCCATTCAATTATTTCCACTGTGTATGTGTGTGAATAGGTAAAATATATGCAACTGAGAAAGTGTTATATCTTGTCTGCCTTTTATAATCAGAATTTAAATCAGCCCAGTGATTTAATGTGAATTATTACGAAATGTTTCTGCAGTAACTTCGTTTGGTCCAGAAAATGAAAAGCTCTATTTTGTATGATCATTTTCCTGGTTAATCAGAATCTGATTTCTACTTTATTCTGTTTTCAAGCAGCATCCAAACAGAGGGATCAGCGTGAGACCACATTTTCTCTTTAATGTTCTGTAGAAACAGCTTTTGAGTCTGGTGGTGTTTCATAATAGACATAAAGTTTGAGTTATGAAAAAGGGAGGAAGAAAGATGAAGGACAGATCGAGGAATATGAGGAAGGTGTTAGTATGGTGCACTTGTATGTTCAAAAATGCAGTTTGTCGACAATGTAAAAAGAAAAAGTACATGAATTCAAAACTTCCTATTTCCCTCTACAATGTCATAGCCATGTCTTTTGTCAATAAGTGACATATATTCTCAAACAAATAAATTTTTCACATTGGATATGTCATAATATTCTCAGTTCACTTTAGTATAAAGGTAGAGTCTTTGAGGAGGGACAAGGTAGAGGTGGGGAAAGTGCTATTACCCCTGTCCAGAAGGGGGCTCTGTGACTTTTTCATTGATAATTTAACTCTCAGCTTTAGGATCCCAATACAGACATGTGTTTGATGGCTCAACAGCAGCAGGGGTCAGAGATGGTGGTTCTGTAAAACAATTAGTAGAGGCTTCCACGAGGCTCAGCGGAAAATAAGGGCAGTGAGACACACCAATAAGCAAAGAGTGATGATGAAACAAGGTGCCAAGAGGGGCGCTGCCCTGCTGTTCACTCTTTGCACGCCACTAGGGGGACCCACAGAAGTCCGTGGGATGCATTTGTTCTTTCGTCTCGGTTTTGACGGGTCCGATTCCTTGTTGGCTAACTCCTTTAGGGTATACACCTCATTCTGAGCATTTCCCTTGCGGCTTCGATGCCTTGTGCAGTTCCTGTTGCGTCCCGATTTGGGTGGTCGAGGGAGCGGCAATGGGGAGGTGGGGTAGTATTGATCTTGATGTGGCAGGTGAGGATGATGATGATGATGATTGCGCGATCGATGATGATGATCTTTCTTCAGCGACACCCCCACATCCCCCTGACTGGATTTGCTCTGGTGGAGCGACTCCGAGCCCGTACAGGAAGGCAGCTCTTCTTTTGTCAACCGTTTCAGATCCTTGCCCGCCAGCTCCGGTGGAGCCACGCATATTAACGAGGAGGTGGAGCCACGGAAGCGCCGCAGCCAATCCCAGAGTGGCACGGCCTTGCAGTCACACTCCCAAGGGTTGTCGTTGAGACGCAGGTACTCCAGTGCCGGCAGCTGAGCCAAGCTTTCAGCTGGAAGTTCAGGTAAGGAGTTGTTAAACAGGTAGAGAGTCGTCAGGCGGCGCAGGTCATGGAAAGCTTGTTTGTGTATCCACTGGAGTCGGTTTTGATGGAGCAGTAAACGATCGAGGACCCCCAGGCCACGGAAAGTGTTCTGGTGGAGGCTCCACAGCCGATTTCCATGCAGAAATAAATGGCTCAGATTCAGAAGATCAATGAACATGTCATCCTCAAGAAACTCCAGCTGGTTGTTCTGTAGAACAGCAAGTAAACAGCAACAGTCAGTAACAAGCACTGAAAAAAGAAGTCACACATATGAATATCCAAAGTGACAGTGTTATTGTTTTTGTCTTTTAATGAAATGTCTAGGCAAATTTAGTCAATATTTCATCATGTTGTGTGGATTAATTTTAGCCCATTTTACTCTGAATGATCATTTCACTACAAAACAGCTCAAATAACAATGAATGAGAAAACATCGACAAAACTGTAAAAACATTGTTGGTGTATTGGTAATATCTCACAGTATATTAGTTTTTCTAATCATAATTTCAACAGTATTACTTATTAATAATTTTTTATAATTTAAAATGGTTTAATTTAATGATGTTTTTGTCTTGTTTTTTTTATTGTCTGAGAAATAATGAAAAAATTGTTGTTGATGAGATTAAAGCTGCAAAACATATTCGAGGAAAGAACCCAATCAAATCACGTGAATGCTTCTGTGTCCTTTTCATAAAGATAATTCAAAGATGAATCATAAAATTGGAAGACCTTGGATATTCATACTGGACCATATTAGATATTAGATTTTCCCTTGTCGTCTGTACTTCTTCTATAAGAATCTTTTCAAAAATCCAACATGCCTTTAGTAACTTGTGTTCTCTGGACACAATGTACTGAAGGTAAATATATTTATACACCATTTGTGAACTTCTAACCTTTGCACTGGTATTGATAATAAATAGAAATGCGTGACGGTGCAGTATTTGCACAGATTGGCATGAGAGCAATTAATATTATGCGTATTTGTTTTATTTAATTGTTTATTAGAAATATGAAAGTCATTTGCATATGCCAAACTACCATTTGGTCAGTTTGGTCTGCTGTTCTTGACACATTTTGCTTTGATAATAGAATAGAATTAAGAAAATAAAAATATTTATTTCTGATATATTAAGCAATTAAAAAAAGTATATGTGTGTATATATATATATACAGTGGGTACGGAAAGTATTCAGACCCCCTTAAATTTTTCACTCTTTGTTATATTGCAGCCATTTGCTAAAATCATTTAAGTAAATTTTTTTTTCCTCATTAATGTACACACAGCACCCCATATTGACAGAAAAACACAGAATTGTTGACATTTTTGCAGATTTATTAAAAAAGAAAAACTGAAATATCACATGGTCCTAAGTATTCAGACCCTTTGCTGTGACACTCATATATTTAACGCACATGTCAAGATTCATTTTGGATTATGTTTTAGTATTTGATCCTGTTACTGCGCTATGATCTTTTTCAGTTTCACCACAATATCCATAATCTTGAATATATGAATAGCCTTATGAAACCTCATGAAAGGTCAGAAACACTTAACCTTAAACATAAATCAAATTCCAAGAGTTGTGTGTCCGTAATGTTCTTTTCACCTGAAGAGTATGTTTCCTTTTTGACATTTTCATTAGAAGGAAATATTGTCTCTGGTCATCGTTTTAGTGCAGCACTTTTTGCTGCCAATGCTGATATTGAATATTTTGAGCAGATCTTATCTGGATTTATTTGGCAAGTCAGATGATTCCTAAGCAACAGTCTTAAAAAAAAAAGATATCCATTCAAGAAGAGCATTTTTGCTTTCTTTAAAATGGTATTGTATCCAGTCAGATTTTCTAAAGTGTCAGCACAACCATTCCAAGCCAAGCGTCTTATAAATTCACACTCAATTTGGCTGAGGAGGACCTAAATATGATATATTTACACAGCACGTCAGACCTAGCAGAACGGACACATTAATAACACTGAAAACTCAGGAATCATTCATCTTTTATATATGTTCTTTGTTACTATATGTACTATAGTAGCACATTATAAATAATGCCATCAGCTATTGCTTGTTATTGTTTTGCATGTACTGTATATGAGGGACACAAATGGCACCTGACCTGTTTGTCAAATCACCCAGATCTATTTTTCCAAATGTTGGCAAAACTTTGAGAATATAACACCCACCTGTAAATAGAGATACTGCAGGTTGTGCAGCCCCTCAAACAAGCCAGCAGGCAGAGTGATTAGGCCACAGTGGTAGAGGTGCAGAGCATGGAGTCGGGTCAGGCCCTGAAAAGTGTCAGAAGCCAGAGAGCGGAGGTGTTTGTTGTCCCCCAGATCGAGCTCCTCCAGGCGGGTGAAGCCCATGAATGTGGAGGGCTGGATGTATGAGATATTGTTGGAGTAGAGCCAAAGCATGACTGTGGTGGGGCTGAAATGGCCCTGTAGCAGACGCTGGATCTTGTTGTTTTGCAGAAAGACGCGCTCGCTCTGGGCCGGGATTTCCTCTGGAACCACCAGGAAGTTGTGAGCCTGGCAGCTCACCGTGCTGGGAGAGTCGTAGCAGATGCAGTGACGGGGACACGCCTGGGTCAACTCTAAACCACACAGCACCAGGAGAAACTCCAGACCACAGCCTACGGAAAGACAGGTAAGGAAAATAACATGTAATCATTGCAAGTTTCAATGGTAAAAAAAAATGCTTTGGAACATTATGAATCCTCAGAGTGGTTTATGCTGGTTTGTGCTGTTCCAGCTGATGGACCTTCAGCAAATCTCAGCTGGTTGATTTTGCTATTTGAGATAAAGAAGGCTGATGGGGAGAGCAGCATTACAAAACACAACATACTGGTACCAGCATACATTTTACATTGTAGTAATATTTCACAATATTATTATAATAATATAATACACTTTTGCTGCTATTGAGGTAGGATATGGGTAAGGTTAAGGACCGGTTTGGTGGTATGGGTAGGATTAAGGGTGGGTTAAGGTGTAAGGGATGGGTCAACAGTGTAATTATAAATGCAATTACAGAAATTAATTACAGATGTAATTACATGCAGGTATTTTTAAAATATAAGTACAATGTAAAAACATATGTACACAATAAGTGCTGTACCAAATGATTAATTTAAATGTAAGTACATGGTAGTTAAGGCCACTTAATATAAAGTGGGACCTTTTTTTTAACTAGTGGGTGCAGGGCACTATAGTTCATTTATGTAAGTGAGGATAGCAAAATAAAATAAACTGTGACATATTATACCCAAAAATTCTTCATACAGTGGACTACCAGTAAAATTTATCAATTTGGGACCATAAATTATTCAGACACTTTGACCATGGCCATGTTTTGCTTAATTGTCATATGACATTATCAAAATGAATTTGTTCTGACACAGTTTAACACTGAGTTCGTGTCATATTTTATTACCATTTTCTAAACTATAGTGAATAAACTGTGATAATGAAATGTTGAAGGTGTCTGAATAAATTTTGGTTTGACTGTAAATGCAGCCTTGGTGAGCATAAGAGTCTTCTTTCAAAAACATTTAAAAAAAATCATAATGATTTCAAACTTTTGACCAGTGTAGTATAATAACTGTAGCGTCTGGACCAATCAAACACACAATATATATTTTGTTAGCTAGATTTAACAAATACTCTGTAACACCCCTCAGTTAAAATGTGGCACAGTGATTATAAATGTCATTAAAATGTCACTTTCAAGTCTGTTGACCCCTGGTCCAACTTTATATGTAATTGTACACCTTGCCGGTGAAAAGCAGCAGTACGAAAGGAAAAATAATCATAAAGAATGTGATGTTTATAAAGATACAATTGAAATCCAGCCAAAAGGACATGAGAATGTGATATTTATATAGATGCAATCTCTGCCTCCATCCATCGCCATCTCTGAATATACCCGACCCACGAGGCGATACTTTAAAAGCGGAAAATCAATGTTAAAGGTTACAGAGGGAAAAAATGCATGTACACATGAGTTTTATTGTGTATGTGTGTGCATGCAACAGATCAGAATGAAAAGAAAGAACACGCATGTCTGAGGGAAGAAAGGAAAGGAATGAGAATAAATGATAAACCCATGAAGATGAGGTTGCGATTAAGGGCGCTGTTGTATAAGTGAACGTTAGTGGCTCAGCATTGATTCGCCTCCGATGTCGAATTGAAATGGAAATGAGAGAGGGGGGGCTTTAGAGGTGCACCGCAGTGGGAAGGGTTTCGAGGAAGAGATGGAACATTTGAGTAATTTCGGATGCACAAGAACTAAAAGGATCAGTTCGCTAAGAGAAACGGAGAGAGATTGATATTGACAGAGACAGTGAACTTGTGCAGAGAGCTGAGTGATGTGGTGTAGTACAGGGTGTTCTGACACTGATATGAAACATTACCATGCTCTCACACATTCAGCAGCAGGAAGCGTGACAGGATACTGTTGCTTATAGCACGGGTAGTGTTAAAAAGACAGTTCACCCAAAAATGAAAATGTACTCATCCTCAAGTTGCTCCAAATCTGTGTGACTTAATTTAGTTAAAGTGTTATAAGGTATAATCCAAACCAACCAGGTGTTTGAGGGAGTGAATCACAACATTACAAACTTTGATTTGAAAATTGGACAAAATAGAAGACTGTGTACTTAACAGATTTAGTGAAGAAATTCCCATTGTGAATGGGATAATCAAATTAAAAATGTTGGTGAAATAGAAATCTATTCATTTGAAGTCGGTGAGAGTACCTATAGAAACAATATAGTTTACGTTTATTGTAAAATATGCATATGTCTTACAAATATTTTAAGTGTTTTGATGGAGTAGGAAGACCGATTTGATTGGTGGAGTAGGAAGACCAATTTGATTGGTGGAATTTTCTGTACAGCATCATGGGTAACGTAGTTTTAAAATGTTGTTTCATAATGTTGTTTTTCACCTGGAATTCCACTGTTGAACACAGCTTTTAAAAATAAATTGAATTAATTTTCTTCCAAGTACCATACCATAAAAGTACCATAAAATCATCATAAAAGTGGTTCATATAATTTGAGCGCAATAATTACAGTCTTCTGACGCCAAACAAAGTCGCTGACTCATAATCGTCTCCTCCAGTGGGCTATTAACCAGAGAACTCAAAAATTAGATCAGTGCTGTGAACTGAATTGACCAATTCATTGTGAGCAATCAAAAGAATGATTCATTCGGACATCCTTATCTGTTCTCTCATTAATGCATCAAGGAGAACTAGGGTGGATGTCAAGATTTTTAGAGAATAATTACATAATTTTGTTTATTAGTAATTAATTGTATAATTATTCCAAGTCTTCTGAATCCATATAATTCGTAATGACCACATTTATGATACTTTTATGCTGCTTTTTTTGTAATTTTTATAGCTTGAAAGCCTCAGTCACCCTTTATTGTAACTGCATGGAAAAGTGCAACCAACTTAATTGTTCATGATTGTCCTTTTGTGTTCAACAGAAGAAAGTAAGTAATACAACTCTGGAATGACATAAAGGTGAGTAAATGATGAATGTTTTCATTTTTGTGGGTGAACTATTCTTGTTTAGAAGCGCTAGAACCACTTAGAACAGTCGTCAGGTCATTATATTCCAATTACGTGCGTTTAGAAATGCCTCGACATACACAATTGTGTTTATTTAAGATTACATTGATCTCCTCGGTATACACACAATTGACGGATGACCTTTTCCAACCAAGCTTTGTTTCAAACAGCACCCGATGTCTAATACAGCATGAAATCGCACGCAGCTTCGGATGACACATGTAATCCTTTGCATTTACTGTTTGCATTTCTGTTTGACAGCGGACTTTTTCTCTCCCAAACATTCACTTTGCTTTATCTTTATTACAGCAGTCCAACAACGTCAACAAAATTACACTCTTTGGCCAGTGAAATGAAGTGTATTCTTCTGAAAATGAATGCTGAATACACAGCTCTATTGCTAGCGGTATGAATTGAATTTGTCTGATGGGGTTCTCTTTATTTGATTATGAAAATGGACTCAAGTCAAACAGCGTGTATTACCATGCTGTATTGCACCTGAATAACTCTTCTAGACAGTGTGTCTCTTTATCTCTTTCATTGCCATTCTATCTGCCTCATGTGCACGCACACACACACACACGCCACATAATGCACAGGAAGGGCCGGCAAGCATGAATGCAGTCGTTTAGGAGCTTTAGATTACTAACGCTTTAATAAAAGGTTAAAGCACATCTTCTTTTTCCCCCAAAGCTGCACTTGCAAATGAAAATGTATTTGAGTATCAGTTCTGCAGGTTAAGAAAGGTTAAACAGGCCTGATTAAGGACCGCCTGACATCTTAGCACCTACTGGCGAGAACTAGCATCCATTAAATATTGGAAAGATTTCAAACTATTTTAATTTAACCCTTTGGGCAAAGATCATTATTTTACTTGTAAGATTGGACTGATTTTCTGACAGCTGGTAGTTTAGTGTGATTTGTGATGAAAATCACTTGATAATATCACCTGAACATTTTTTCTGAATATTATTATATTTAAATTATATGTTAAATACACCGAGTTAAAAAAATTAGGGTAAGAAAGATTTTTATTTTTTTTTTAAGAAATTGAAAATTTTTATTTACTGTTCAACACTGATAATAAGAAATGTTTCTTGAGCACCAAATCAGCATATTAGAATGATTTCTGATCATGTGACACTGAAGACTAAAGTGAAGATTTAAAATTGCATTTTAAAATATATAAAAATAGATTTTTTTTTTAATTGTAGTATATATTACAGTATTATAAATTATACAATATTCAAACAAATGCAGCCTTGGTGAGCATTAAAGACTTAAAAAAAATTAGCATACTTGGCCTGCTAGCTTAGCCTATATTCTATGCAAATGTTCTATTATGCCGTTTTTTATGTTTTAATTACACATTTTAATGTCTCAAACATATGTCAGTGTTTCCGAGCATGTTAAATACATCCATATTTCACATCGAATACCACTAATCCACCCTTTAATAACTCCATGAGTTCATTTATCCCTTGTTCTTTAATGATCATGTAACTCCCTTTCTCTCTCTCATGCCTTTTTGGCTGGATTTCAATTAGTTTCAAATGTTATCAGGATATTTTAACTGTCAGCGCAGTTAATTATGTGATTGTGTGCACTTGTGTATTTGTTTATTGTCCGTTGACTTAAATATGCACATGACAAACCGGACACAAATCTTTAGCCCTTTTTATGTATCCATTGTCCTTTGTTCTCATTTTTCATTCTCTCCTCCATAATGACCCTCTTTGATTTTCTCTCTTATCACATAACAGAGGCTGCAGAAATCCCTCCACGTTCTGGGAGATGGAGAAAAACCTTCCAGTCACCTCTCGCTCTGTTCCCATTCTCATTTTTCCCCCTCTGTCGCTCACATTTGGATTATAACTCTGGTAGATAACAAGTGCATTAAATATATTATAATGTCTCTTCTCATTAGAATAGATCCAGCCACCGGGGCCTCTACCAGTTGGGCCCCAGCCATCAAAGTCACTGAGAATGTTTCCTTTTATTTCCACTGAGGATATTTCCAGTCACAGTTAAAATATTGTGTTCATGTAAGCT